CCCTTAGACTAGTCAACGCCTCCCCTTAGACTAGTCCACGCCTTCCCTAGACTAGTCACGCCTCCCCTTAGACTAGTCCACGACCTCCCCTTAGACTAGTCAACGCCTCCCCTTAGACTAGTCCACGCCTCCCCTTAGACTAGTCCACGCCTTCCCTTAGACTAGTCCACGCCTCCCCTTAGACTAGTCCACGCCTCCCCTTAGACTAGTCAACGCCTCCCCTTAGACTAGTCCACGCCTTCCCTTAGACTAGTCCACGCCTCCCCTTAGACTAGTCCACGACTCCCCTTAGACTAGTCAACGCCTTCCCTTAGACTAGTCCACGCCTCCCATTAGACTAGTCCACGCCTTCCCTTAGACTAGTCCACGACTCCCCTTAGACTAGTCAACGCCTTCCCTTAGACTAGTCCACGCCTCCCATTAGACTAGTCCACGCCTTCCCTTAGGAGGCGTGAAATCAAGTTTGGAAACCACTGATCTATACTGATTCATTCAGACTGATGATTGAAACGATCGCACTTATAAAAATTTATTTATTATTAAAGAATAATTTATAATACAATATAACCATCTATAACGCTCTTTTTTTTTTGTTAAACTTATCTTTACTTACAATTACGAAAAGAAGAAGAAGACAAAAAAAAAACGACGGGGGGCGGGGATGGGAGGAAATATATATAGAATTGTTATTTGTTTTGTAATGAAGTAAAAGTGGAGAGGAGAGAGAGGAGGACGAAGAGGCCTTATCAGTAATGTTGAAGGGGGATTGTGTGTTAGGGGGGTTGTATAAAAGGATTGTGGTAATTGATGGTGGTGTTTGTTTCTCGTTTTCATACGAAGAAGAGAACGAAAGTTAAAAGTGTTAACACACGTCAATCATATCCAACATTCTACTTATAATTGAGCTTATTAATTATAAATTCAAATGCACCATAATATATTTACTTTTTAATAATATATATATATACTTTTTTCTCTTTCTTCCAATTTTTCTTTCACCTTTCACTCGCGTCTGTCTCTCTCTATATATGTGTGTGTGTTTTTTTGTGTGGATTCTCTCCGTCTCTCGTTAATTCATCTATATATTTGCTAGTGTCGCTCATCATCATCAACATCATCATCATCATAATATAACAACATTAAGTCTTCTCGCGACAAATGTTCCATTTTCTCATCATATATATATATATTTGCAGTACATGTTTCAAATGTACTTTCCAAACTTGACGAAAAGGAGAAAAAAAAACCAAAAACGATGAAGCGCGCGCGATCACGAAGCCAAACCACGAAACAAAAAATATGTATAATATAATCTTATACAATTATACAAGCACGTAATACTTCGTAATTTCATCTCTTGTTCAAAATCGAAAACGAAACTGAACGACGAACAAACAAACAGAAAATAAAAACATGTTAAATGATTTCTTTATACAAAAGGTATGTTGTTTGTTTTGTTTTGTTTTGTGTGTATATATATATATATAGATTTAGTCGAAAACAAACGAATTTTGTTAAGAGAGAAACAAAACAAAAAAAAATCAGTTTCGTTGATCAGAGTGTGCTTAAAAATATCAAGTAAAAAAAAATCGTGTAATATTAATTAATTAATTAATAATAAATGGAACGAATAAATATAAATTGCAACAAGTCAGGCGCCCGATTATTCAGGATAAAGAAAAGCAGGCGACCCATTTTAAAAACAAAAGTTTATGATATCAAAGAAGGTTAAAGAAAGTAATGATAATCTGTGTTCCTATCTATATCTACCGCATAAATCCTTTAACATGTTCAAGGCAAAACTTCTGTTTGCCCTTATTATATTATCCTCAAGATGTTTGTTTCTTTGTTTTCGTATCCCTTTTTACTTCTATGTTTATGTCTGTCTGTCTGTGTTTGGGTGTTGTGTGTGTGTGTGTATAATGTAAATTTAAAAAAATATATAATAATGATAATAGTAGTAATAGTAATAGTAGTAGTAGTAGTAATGGATTAATAATAATAATCGTAATATTCGGCTTCGGATCAGTTGTCGGTCTTGTTCCGACGCTGTAACGCCGCCGCCAAGTCTTGCTTCAGGGCCTGCTGTTGCCTCGTCTCCGTCAGCGGCTGCACTGACCTTAAGCTGTTCACGATGTCCTTAGTCTTGCTGAAGTAGATTTCATTCAGCGTGTTTCTGATTTGGTTCTCCATCTGCTCGACCATCTTCCCGATGTTCGCTATATGCGGATTCACGTCGTTCACAGGCGCATCCTGCTCAATCTGAAAACAACAACAACAACATCACTCAATTGATGATCATAATAAGTATGAAATATGAAATACGTACTTGTCTCGTCAGACTTCCGCCCAAATTCATTGTGCCAGAGCCCTGTTTATTTGTCTGCAGCCACAGCATAACGGTGCTCGTCATTTTGTAATGCGACGTGCGCCCAGAACTCTTCTCCTGCACCTCCACCACATGTATAGAGTCCCAGCAGCCTTTGATCCTTTTACTACCATCCCCAGTCTTCTTGATGAGAATAACGCCTACGAAATGATTAGTAGTCAACACAACGCACACACACACGTATATAAACAATCAACTAACCAGCAAAGCCGTGCTCCAAATCCCAAAAGTAAACAGAGGACACACCGCCTTCAAAGTACATGTCCCTGTACATGTCGAAGGCATTATTAGCATCCAGTTCTAATTTCCTAAGGCGTTCCGAGGGCATTGAGCCATCTTCCAATGGCGGGTCATAAGTGTTGGACCAGGGACTCCTACGATTTCAACAATTAACACTGATCATATATACATATCTATATGTAATGATACCAACCTGTATGAATCACCATCCCTGTTGTAATCACATAGTAGATAATCCTTATGCATTTCCTTATCTTTGGCAATTTTCAAAGGCTGGTCAACGGATGAGAGCAGATCCTCACAGAGGCTCGGCACCAGATCAATCAGGTCGATCAGGTTCTTCTCGATCTCCTGGGGCGGCAGCCGCCTCATCAGGTCCAACGCGCAATCGAACTGTTGCTCGCCCTAAACCAAACACGCAAAACACATTCGTTATTATCTCGTATCTACCTGATGATGATATATACTATTTTTGGGTGTGGACATTATTTCGCGTTTTATCCCGCGCACCGTCGCGCCTCCACCGCCCTCCGTACACCTGCTATTATCGTGTAGCGTTCGAAACTCACCATCTTTCTCGAATATCTTTCTATTTAGTTTGAACCCTTAAAACTACGAATAAAATTTGTAGATTATATCACAAAACTTTACTTTACAAGTCGTTGACACTTGTCAAAAGCGAATGACGGGGCAGGACTGCCAACGTGAGGCCGAACACGAATCGCAGCAGCAGCAGCGCAGGCTGAGAAACATTGAAATAACCATACATGGAATGATTCCTTCCTTCGTTGCACAGATAGCAGCAGCAAACACATATACACGGTGGCCCATAACATATATGCGTACACAGATTATAACAAAATTAAAATTTACATTGATTCTAATTATATGAAATCAATGAAGTGTACGTGTTTCTTTGAGACACTCAGTATCAGCGGATCGTCAGTTGTGGTCAGTTGCTAGTTAATAAATTCGTCGTTGGGGGGAAACTAGAAAAATAAATCTGTTAATACCAATGTTAAATAAATAAAGTATAAAATATATGAAACAAACATTTGAAATAGTTCCGAGTGTTTCCGAACGTCTCGGAGTTCAACCGATTCGCTCTAAAAATCACTAAAAAAATCTTCTTCTCTCTATACACATAGACAAAAAGTTAATACCAACTCAAAATAAAAGGACTAGTTTTTGCCTTATCCCTGCTCAGTATATTCCAATAGAATTTGATAACATTATTGAAATTATTTTGAGAATGATACCCAGGCGCATCAACCATTTATATATGTATATTACTTTTGGATCTTTGAAAACTTGGATAAATATGAAATTTGTTTCAAATAAGTAAAAAACAAAATTGTAAGAAGAAAGACTCAACGTATGAAGGAAATAAAAGAAACATTTAAAATACTTTTATTTATTGATAAATAAATCTCTCTTTGGCCCTATTTAGTATCAGATTTTCGTGATACAGGCGATAACCATACACACACACACGACCATGACCGCCCTCTATTAGACATCTAATGGTAACAAAATTTGTATCTTATTTACATAAAAAGGAACGAAATTGGTTGTTATTGCTTCTGTACACTCTAATACTGACTGGATTCTGTACACATTATATATTTATATAAAAAACAAAACTAATTTGCTGATTCAATATGAATCATAAACGAAATATCACCAGGTACATTAATTTTAAAGGTAAAGAAAGAAAAAGGAAAGTACGTTCAACAACTAACTTTACCCAATGCAAGATCTCTTGTGCTCATTCAAATTTTTTATCTAAAAAACAAAAAAAATAGTTAAAAAAAACATAATCAAGAAAGCGTTAACAGAGTGTTCGACTTACTTTGCAGTCTATGGAACAATAGACGACCCTCTTGCATTTGCAAGCAATAATTGCAATCTTTCCGCAAACGCACAAGTACATGTCTTCCTTAACGATGGAATCTATTCGAACCTGAAGAAAATGATTGAAAAGACTAATGAAAATCGATTAAGTTTCTTCACTTACAGTTCTATTAGGTCGTTGATCCATCTGCGGGGAATTCAATATGCAGAGCGATCGATATTTGACGACCTGAGCGTACAGACTGATTCTCTGGTCGTACGACATGGGCGAGAGCAAAAACTTGGCGGTACTGTAGCCGACAAAGTCCAACGTCTCGAAGAGCTTCGTGGTGCAGTTCATTTGGTCGATGAGAATCCTTCCAAAGTCCGTTCGTGTACGTTTAGCGTTAGTCACGAAGACGGTGAGGAAGAAGTACAAATCGCCCAGCTTCGAAATCTCCTCGATCAGAGCGTTGATGCTGAACTCTTCCACGTGACAACTGTCGATTATTCTCTGCAGTTCGCAAATCATTCTCCGGATGACCATGTTTTGAATATGCGCTGCCTGCATTTCGCATTCAACATCGGACTTCTGTAATGTAACTTTCATCTTCACCTGGTTGACGAAGAGGCAATAGTAGGATAGAAACTTCTCAACGAACTCGCTCATGTTCATTTTGCTGACATTGACTTTCCGCTGCTGCTGCGGCTGTTGAGCAACAAGCGACTTCGAGCTGCTACTGCTACTGCCGCTGCTGCACGATGTCATCAGTTGACTCATCACGGGTCTCGCAGAGAAGACTGCTTTAGTTTCTGCAGTTCTTTTGTACTGGTACAAGGGCATAGATACCAATCTTATAGCCTGATTATTCATTGACGTCTGCCCTCTCTGCATTTCAACAATATTCGCACTGCTTGTAGTAGTAGTAGTAGTGGTGGCAGTCACAACAGTCTGCATTCTCTTCGGTTCTACAATATTATTCAAATTTGCATTACTTGCAAATGTGTTATTACTATTGACCATTCCTTTACCTTCAAGTTCTTTCACTTGATTCTGCATTTTCTGCAGATTCGGATTGACTGTAGTAGCAACAGTATTGAAAATTCCTCCTCCAGGTGCATTAAGAAAATCCTGCAATCTCTGCGTTTCTGCAACATTGTTCAGATTCTTACCGCTCATATCAACACTATAGATCAGTCCTCCACCTCCAGGCACATTCACGACAGTCTGGATTCTATGCGTTTCTGCAATATTGTTCATATTCGCAATGCTTGTAGCATTATCACTATTGATCATTCCACCAGTCTGCAGACTCGTATTCGCACTGCTCGTTGTACTAGCGTTAACCATTATTTTACCAGACAGATACTGCTGTTGAGCGACCAACGCTTTCCGCCGGTACGAATTCTGCTTCTTATGAAAACTGTTTTTCGTCGAGCATAACTTTTGCAAATTACTATCTTCATTCAGAGTATTTTGATGTACCACCTGCTCTGTCCGATTTTGTGGAATATAATTCAACGAGGCGAACGTTATCACGGACGAATTGGTAGATGTTGTTTTCATTGCGTTCTCTATGGAAGAAGTCGCCGGAATTTCGCGTGAATTCACGGAAACTCGCGGCTCAATCACAGAATCGATTGTCGCATTTGATAATTCGTTTTTCTCCTTTAACAGTTCCGTAGAACTCTCAGAGTTTGTGCTCTCGATGGAAATAACAGTATCATCGTTTTCAACGACTATTGATTCCAAGACTTTGTCTTTGCTCGAATCTACTTCCAAGTTACATGCGATTTCAATTTCGATGCCTGAAGATGATTGCTCTTCTTCGGTTTGATTCTCTGACTTTACCTGTTTTTCTAGGGTTGCGACGGATTCTTCCTCCTCCATATGAAAAACAATACTCGTCGCAGGTGAAACCAGATCGATGTACGTCGTCTCCGATTGCGTCCTCTCATCTATAATACTCAATGAGAGCATATCCGAGTTATTCTGCGTGGGAAACAATTCCTCGATGGAACTATCACTGATTGTTACATTCAGCAGGGGCATATCGTTGAACTTCTTGTTTGGACTAACTTCAGATTTCGTGTACTTTACGTTTTCTTCGCTCTTTTTCTCCACAATGCTCGACTTATCATCATCGTCTGTCGAAATCTTCCTTTTCCTCTCTCCTCTCTGGCTTTTCTCGTCCGGCGAATTACGATAGTCACAGCTGTGTCTTCGACTCTTCGCATTATGCTCACCACTTTCCTTCTTACTTGTAGAATGTCGATGTTTGCCAACATGCTTGCTCTCCTTATTCCTCTTCTTGATGATCGTACAATCAGCTTCTTCGCTGTTCTTTCGTTTGCTGACTTTCTTTGGTATCTGCTGGTTACTTTGTTGTCCTTTTACATCTTCATTTTCCTTGTTCCTCTTTTTACACTTCTTCACGTCATCATCCTCCGTCGCCGACCCGATTTCATCGATAAACTTTTGCTTGTTAACCTTCTTCAATACTCTATTATAAGCAGAATTCTCTGCGTTTCTTTTTTTCTTCTTTTTAATTTCCTTGATCGCATCATCGTCTGCTGTCGTCGATGTTATTTCTTCGCTTCTTTGCTTGCTACATTTCTTCGATTTTCTATTATCATCAGTTTCGGTATCCTTTTCAGCAGAACCATCTTGTAATAAATCCGCATCATCGCCGAATATATCTAAAAACTTTCTCTTGATATCGTCAGTTTCTCGAACGAGTTTCGTGGAATCGTCGACGACGACGACCCGCGTCGTTTTCCTCGACCTCTCTGGATACATCGATCTCCTTATACGCGGATCGAGAATGTTGGCGTAAATCACGTCGACTTTACTCAAATCAATAGATTTCTCCTTGCATTTGGCCCTCTCTGCGTACTCGTTGAAGTAAATGTATGTAGCGTCCTCCGTGTAGTTGGATTTCTTGCTGACCGACCCAGTTGAATTTCTTCTGAGACGCTTCTGCTTGCTCACTTGCAAATCGATCTCCACCAATTGGTAATTGTCGTTCAGCGAATCGTTCACTTCGAAGTTGATAACTGGCGCTGCTGCTAACATTGCAGAGAGGTTCTGCACAGAGTTGGATTTCGCTCTGTTCAAGTTGTGCCGCTTCTCCACCTGCTCCAAGAGCGAGAAATCGCTTTGCGTTCGCAACTTCTGCTCCTTGATGTACTCATTGAACATGTTCGAGATTACAGTCGAGATGATCGGATACCTGTTGAAACTCCTGCGGAGCTCGACGAAACCGGCGAACGGCAGATAATTCATCTGGAGATTCTTCAGCGTAGGCGCCAATTGCGAATAAAGCCCTTTCAAGTTCTCGACTTCTTCTTGAAGCAGGAACACGTATTGACTGAATGTCGGCGGCATACTCTCGACGTACAGTAAATTCCATTTGCGCATCAGAACTTGTTCAATTTCGTTCACGCTCATCTCCGGATCGACTTCTCTCATTTCCTCTTTCACTGAATGATTGTTCGCGTCCAACAACTGTTTATCGCTTTCGAGTCCAAACGAACTGCTGGATTTCTCCGTCTTGATGATAACCTGCTCTTCGTATATTAGATTAGACAAATCTTCGTTTTTAAGCTCGGATTCCTCATCAGTAAACATACGTTCAACATCCTCTTGGTAATCACACATCAGATCAATATACTCGTCGGTGCGATCATCAATACGATCTTCATCTATGTACAAATCGTAAATGGAGTCGTTTCCATCCGTTCGGTCGCTCATTCTACTACTAGAATACACGAGTGGTGTTTCATCAATAATTTCGGTCTTGATTTGAACGGTCTCCTCCGGCATCGTCTTGTATTCGCGATCCATCCGCGTGATGGTCTTCTCTTCGACGAGGATCTCTTCGATTATAATATGCTTTATCTCTCGTACTTCTACGGACTTGTCAGCGCTTCCCGCAGTTCGCAAATAAGATTTGTCTGGTTCAGCTACTTTCAAAACAGCCTCTTGACTATCATCCTTCGCGTTCTCAGTCTGCACTCGAATCGGCGTGCACTGGACATCTGCAACGTTATTATTATCTTCCTCCTCCAGCTTGATATTCTTGGAGATTCCCTGAATTTCGGATTCCTCCACCTTAACACCGGCGCAGCAGGGAATCTCCAATGCAAGTTCATCCATTTGATCTTCGTTGGGAGACTCCACGAACTCCTCTTCGGGAAACTCGACGCTCGTGTCCGTCGGGCTCAACGATTGCACGTCGATCGGTTGGAACTCTTCGGGGTTGTAATCCTCCGACATGTTCCGGTAGTCGTTCATCATTGGGGCACGATCAGGCCTCCAGTGACGGTTACCGCGGAAACTGTGGAAACTGTTGTACGGTCTGTGGGAGATCGGGCGTCTCGACGACGGCGCTGCACTGTCGTACCTCTTCCCACCGCCGTCATAATACTTGTAATTGTTATTGACGCCGTGGTAGACGTCGTTCAAGTACAGATTTTGCCTGTTTCCACGTTGATTCCTCGAATGCCACGGTCTTTGCGAATACCCTCCTCCTCCTCCTCCTCCTCCTCCTCTATTCGAATAACTCCTACATAAAAAACAAAAGTAACAAAATGCGTGGCTATCTAAACTTAATTAAACTTACATGTGTCCCGTTTCCGAAGGCGGCCTCGCGTACTTCTTCCGATAACCCTTCTGAAACATAACAGAAATTACAACTTTTTTTTTTTGTGCTTCTTCTATAAATTATCAACGCGGAAATCTTTCTCCGTCCACGGAAACTGTTCACACTCGTTGCATATTTCTATATGTAACAAACACTGCAAACTATAACCATAACTTCAAAGTCTGTTGATGTTTAAGCTCTAAGTAAACTCAAGATCAATCATCGGACTTGAAACTGTTTGACAGACGATTTGGATATTACCTTGGAAACACAATAAATAAACAATGAAATAGTTTTACGTCATCAGTAAAAAAGAGAATATCAAGTCACAACATGCCGAACGATAATAATAATTTACCGCAGCCAAAATAACAGCAACGAAGTTGTTATTAAAGTTACCTACCATCAATTATATTTCAAGACGCCATCTGATAATAAAATAATAAAGCTTATTTTAATAATAACATTCAAAGTTAATATCAAAAATCACTGAAATAATCAAGAAATTCGAACATCCTGATGCAGAAATATAAATTTGTTAGCTTATACCAGCGGTTTCCAACCTTTATGCTCCTACGCCTCCCTTGGCAATAGTCCATTTTGGAAACCGCTGGCTTATACAGTGTTAGAATTGAAAGATTCTTTTGTTTTTGACAGAAATCGCTGACTTCTTTTGTTTTGTTTTGTTTCAATTTCGTTTGTTTGTTTCTAAACGTCTCGATTGTTTCCATGCAAAAACGATATACTTACTTAAATCTTGTTAAACGTAGTTCATTCTTGTTGTATTTTGTGTTATTAATTATTTTTTTTACGAACCTGGATTAAATGTAAATAACAGCAATCCCTCATTTGCAACTAACGAGAATTAGTTGAACATGAAAGCATGCACTGAGAAGGTGAACACAAATTGTAGGGCTCTCGAATATACACTGACCGATCTTGTCTTATTTTCTTGGTACCAGAGACAAAAAGTGCGAGTGGTTCTTGGAAATGGGATGAGAAGAGAGGAGAGAAGGTCGTAAATTTTTTTTTTACCATCCCCCATCCCCCTTTTACCATTTTTTTTTCCACTTATTAAGAAAAACAAAAAAAAAATAAACGTAAGATTTCTCACAAGACATCCTCAATTGTTCTTCACAAACAATTGCTATTTATTTTATATAACCATAGCAACAATCAAGCATCCGATCCAATAGACATTATTAATCTGTTTATATCGATCACTATGGTAACAATTAAGCTCTTGTTTCAAACAATTTAAAAAAAAAACACACACAACACGCGTTGTTCTAATGTAAACAAAGGGATCTCGCTGAAGTGGAGAGTCAGCATCCGTAGGAGTAACATGAATCACACGCATTTATGTGCAGCGTTTTCTAGCACATGCTTGGCTTGTAGAGTCGTCACTCAAAGAAAAACATACCCAAAGACGTCGTCTGCGTTTCAGGTAAAGTTTCTAAAGTTCCACCACCCTTGAGATTTTTTTTCGCCTTTTCCTTTGGTGTTGTCTTCGTCGCATTTCAAATCTTTATTTATCCAAAATCTTAGGACAACAAAATGGTTTAATACGTTTTTTCTTAGAAATTCGAGTGTTGGACTTAATTTGTTAATGCTTAATTTGTCCATTCTTTTTCATCGAAATAAGTTTACTCACCGAAGTTCTGAATTTGCGATGCATTTCCAATCTATAAAGTTCATTTAAATAAATTAATTCTTAACATGGTGATGAAACTTGCGCAGTTTTTAAATAATGGAAAAGAAAATTAACTGAAATTACGTTCAGTGTACTTTTTTCGTGTTCAGTGAACCTGAACTTTTCAATATTTGCAGATAAAACTTTGATTTCTTCATAAATTCTTCATGAAAAGATATCTTATCTTTCAAGATTTCTTATGTCTTTTGTTATTTTGCTATATTTACTTGAAGAAGAACCACCTCCGCCTTATCTCAACAACCTTTTACGGTCGAAGATTTGAAAGAAAATTGTTTGGTTTAGTGATAAAAGTTTTATGGTGGTACGTTTTTAGTGCGCCTCATTGATATTTCTTCGGTCCAACCAAATCTTCCTTACAAATGCTCCCATTTATAAGCCCCCCAAATAAAATACTTTCGCACCTAACAATAAACTTGTTGTTGTTGTTGCTGCTGCAGCTAATCAAACAAAATATTCGTTGCATCGCAATCAAAATTCGCTGCATTTCGCAGATTTACATAATAATCTCGCAATTTATCGAAACGTTCCGAGAAAGCGTGTATTTTGTGCGTGGGTCAGCGTTGAATATGCCGCGTTCGCGTCTCAATCATTCTCTCTTTTATTTGTTTTATTCGCAAGCTCGACTTACTGGTGAAAACGTTTGATCCAGCGTTTGGAAGTTATTGTTGTTATTGTGATTGTAGTTCCTCCACGATCCCTGCATTTGGTTTCCACAGTAATTGTTGTACATGGTTATCACATTTATACTCTCTACATTCATTCGGGGGTTGCTGAAGACTGAAGAAGTCTGTCTGTCTTCGAACGTTCTGTTACGCCTGTACGGTTTGTTCTTCAGCTAAGGGGGAGGGGTCAAAAGTTGAGCGTTGCTGCGCGTCATTTAATTACACGCGATTTCTTTCCACTTTGAAAATGTTTGTTTCATTAAACAAGTATTTTCTCTTCGTGTGTGTGTGTGTGTTTTTTTTTATGAAAGCAGCACGTAAAGACTTATTAATGTGCGCGTTATTGTAATGTAAGGACTAGTTAATGTGCACGCTTTCACTGATTACTCGATATATAAAGAGTAACGATTACCAAAAAGAAGACAGTCTCCTTGGATGCGCGACTCTCGATTGTCAAACATTTGTCCTGGCCAACCATTATTATTGTTAATAAAAAAAGACGTCTCTTAGTCGCATTATTATATAAACATTAGCATAAAGGAATCTCTATCGTGATTCCAGTTCGATACATTTTAATATAAACAAAGGGGACCAAGCGTAAACATTTCCATCGATACTCTTATACCTTTACTCCGAATTCAAGTCCTTATTATAAACACATAAAGATCGTAACGTATAAAGTCGTAATCGATCATCTTTTTCATATAAACAAATGCATAGGAATTTGTCCCGGTCTTATAAATAAACAAAAGCACCAACACACACAAAGCCTACTCTAAATCACAACTTCCATCCCGTATTAATAAGAATTAACTTTGTAAGTAGAATAAGTATTTTAGAATGAGTCTCAGTAAAACATTCAAAGACTCAATATAGTCTCAGCAGAAGACGAATAAGTAACGAATAAAGTTATGTAAAACCAATTGAATTATTTAACTGAGACTCCACAAACGACAGCAGAATTCCCCATCCCTGGGACACGACAATATTAATAACTACTATGCAGAGAGTCGAACGGAAAACCGTAAAACGAAATTAACCGGTTTTTTGTTGTTGTTGTTGACAGAACCGTAACTGTAACCGTGAACGTGAAATGGCTCAATTGAAAAACCGAATCTGGAACGAAATGTTAATTACATAATTGCTTTCTTTCGTGTGTGGTTTATTTATATAGTCTAATGTGAATAGAGTATATAAACAAACAATGTATAAAAGACGTCTCTTTGAATTCTACGAATTATTTTTACAAATATACATAATCACACACAACTCGCACCCCATAATATTTCATAAGTAGATTATGTAATTATAACACAATAAACGGAAACCACGCCGCAAACTTCGAACGGGGTCGATTTCGACTGTATCGAAATCCCGACAATCGAAATCCGGACAATCATAATCCCGACTATATCGAAAATTTCTACAACAGCATTTTTAAATTAACATTACGAAATAATCTCAAATACAATTAGATTATTAATTTAAAAATGTTATTGTAGACATTTTCGATATAGTCGAGATTTTGATTCAGTCGCTCCGAACGACATATTCAACGTTTTTCATCACGCCGAATATGAAGAACTTCATAAAGAACAAATCTCTGAAACAACAACCGAGTAAAAAGAGAAAATTTGAAGAATAATGGGGAAGCACGAGTATTGCACGACTATCAATAGAACAAACTGAAATGAAAGTGATTAAAAAGGACATTACTGTAAATCTGACTGAAGAAACATTACAAAAGTGCACGTGTTGAACTAGTCTAGTCTAATTAATTTATATTTCTTGTGTATTTTAATTTTTTTAATTGAAAACAATAGTAAGATTTGGTAAATAAAGCCCTTATTATTTTATACATGTTTATGTATGTAAGTCATTAAGACTTAGAACAAATACCACTTAGGAAGATCCCATAACTAATCATTGTGTAACGACTATTATTGTTAATCAATCAATAATGACCTTTAATATGTACATATGTAAGCCTAATGACTTAATTATTAGAGATAGTTAGGTACTATCTTCCCTTACCAAATATTGTACTCTCACTATGTTAATTCCCTACTATAAAATAGGATGTTTATGTTATACCAAGTCAGTCTGAGAAGGGCAACCCAAGCTACGAGTTATTAGCTGAAAGCTAGTTGAAGAACTTATATTTACAGTGATTGAAATATATTAATTGTGTTCATTGACTTTCGTCTAAACCTTTCACTAAAACCCTCTGCAGACTCCACCACCACAGAAATACAAGAAGATCCAAATTGTGTCCAAAATTCCATCCCCGGGACACGACAATTTGACTCGATTTTAAATTATAACTTTGAACCGGAACCGAAATCTGGTGTCGTGTCCCGGGATTTACAAATCTCTGGACACTGTGGATTATCTCACACTCATGTCATTGTGGAATCTTAGAGAGGTTTATGAATATCAAATGCAATATTCTTAATTATTGTCATTGTACATATCAGTGTTTTATTGAGAAGTCAACTATACAATAGTTGATCTCATGGATTATCAAAACTACGAGTTACATTCTCCTCTTAAGTTAATCATTAGGAAGTAAGTAGTGATCTTCCCTGGACTCTTCAAGAAAGACCGTGTTCACACTTCAACCCTCCAACTAAGACTATTTTCTTTGTTCGACTCTAACTCCAACTAAAACTAACCTCTCAGTTCAGCCCCCTAACTAAGACTAAATTATATAATAGAAAAGTGTATCCATTTGAAAAAGGGGCTGCGTGGGAGGAGGTAAGGATATCTGTTTTGACCTTGTGGAAAACACAACCTTTTCTTTATCTAAGTTTTATGACCCTACCCCAAATATTTAAGGGCGGCAAAAAAAGAGGCTGTTGAGTGTTGATAAAATAGACGCAGCTATACGATCTAAAGTGTAATAATTAAAGAGGAATGTGGATGATCAAAGAAATATACATATTAGTTATACAATAGATAATAATAGAATGGTCCAACCACCGAGTTTGTGTACCATTGAGGACACTGACCTATAAGAAAGAAACTGCAGAATAGACAGATCCCACGGAGAACAGTAACATGAAGCGGAGCGTCTTATCAAAAACGTGCCTACTCCTCAAACTCCCGTCCACTTGCTTAGTGAATTTTATATGTAGAATAAGTATTTGTAATTAGTCTTAGGAAGAACGTTAAAGAATCAACTACAAGTCGTATCGAATATTTTACTGAAGGGGAAAATGTAACTGTTGGTTGATAATAATTACGACATAATCACAACTTTTTTTTGGGAGTTGATTATGCATAAAAGTAGAAGAAGTAGAAGAAGATGATAATTTTAATTAGAAACATATAAACTTACTTGTACTTAGATTGGGAGGGTTTTTGGATAATTACATATTTTGCCTGTCATTATTTGGATCGAAATACCTGGGTCTGGGACTGTTGTACCAATCGCTACAGCCTGGAATATTCGGATTCACGTACGGCTGGTTTCCAGGATATGCGTACTGTGGATGCATCATATTGTAATAATCCATCGGATTCTGAAAGTAATATGGAAATTGTGGTGGTGGCGGCTGCAGCGGCGGCCCTTCCATCATGCCACCTTGAATGTAACCGTCTCCGAGCATAGATGGCCTGACGATGGTCTCCTCTCTCATGTTATGGGTGCGCCCGTACATCATCGGCACGTTCCCGTATAAATTCACTTGACCGTACGACGGATTCCTGATGTAACGAGGTATCGGATACTGCGTTTCATTCATATGCGATTCAGTATAATTGCATTGTTTGTTCGGCACGCTCTCGAATACGTCCTCTCTCTTAATCATGTTCGTCTTCATCTCCTTGCCAATTGTAGCATTGAAATCTGCTTCGTTGAATTGGACTTCCAGCGATTTGTCGAGGAACTCTTCGGATCTGTCGAGCACGCTCGTCTCGTTCTCGTCGTACATCTGCTGAAAACTGAACTCGATATCATCATCATCCACTTTCGACAGTTCTTCCGTGTGCATGGAATCTTCGTAATCCTCCGGTTCCCGTTTCCTCTTCGACCTCTCCGAAGTTTCCACGTAGGAAGCCAAATCTTTCTGGTAGCAACATTTCGATGCGCCGCTATTCCTCTCCAATGATTCCATAAAGCTGTGCGACAGTAAATCGCTGAATTTGTCAAACATTCTAGTTTGCGTCCCACTCGCCGAAGAAGCGTAATCGCATTGCCGGTCACTGACTGGAAAATCCACCACGTTTGTGGGTACTTTCAAACGATTCATCACAGGTCTATCATCTATAATCCTGCAAAATAACATTATGTTTACAATTATCAATTCGTTTCGTTTAACTACCTTTCCGTTAAATTGAATATTGGCGATTTGAAATTCGGCGAGTATTTAGAAGTCACCAAAGGCGAACTCCACTTAATATTTTTCTTCACATCGGACCAGGCGGATACATTGGCTTTACTCTTTTTTGGATTCAGCACTTCCACAACGTTGTAACTGCTCTCCGTCGAATCTGGTTCAGTGCTGCAAAAGTCGCTTTCGTGGATCAGACGTTTCTTTGGTTTCAATGCGAACGCCTCTTTAATATTGACATTAGAAGAATCCTGTATAACATAAAAACGAATTAACATATACTAGTTGTTGAAACGAATCATTTACTCACGTTGTATAAAGAATTTTCAAAGTCCAACGTTTTCCTAATCTCCTGGAAACGCCTATCCGCTTTCCTCCCAGAACGCTCTCCAGTTTGCACCGAATTCATTTTCATTGAAATGTTTTTCCGAGGAAAATCGTACTTCTTCAGTTGCATATCGAGCGCAGACTCGTTAAATCTTCCGCTCATTTTCGGATGTTCTTCGAATCCTCCAAACGTGTCATATCTACTATCTTGTTTTGTTGGAATCTGATTGTTATCGTTTTTTTGTAATACAAATTTTGAATGATTCGAAACGCTGTTCAAACTCAAATCATTCGCGCGTGGTGTTGCTTTGACGTCGAATTTTGGAAGAAATCCTTTCGAAAGAAATTGCGATCTTAATGTGTTTAGATTCGACGCTATCGCATTCGGATTAAATAAACTCTCATCTATCGAATGTTGTACGTCGGATTTGAATTCGTGCAAATTCGATGGATTTATATCAACATTCGATGGAATGGAACAATAACCGCTTGTTTCCAGTTTCGTCGACGTCTCGGAAAAGGAATCTTCCAAAACACATTTCGCCAGTTTGGTTGGATTCTCTGCGGGCTTCTGGATCAGTATGTTAGAGATTACATTAAGCTTTTGAGGTTCTTCAAACTCGCGTTCTTCAACTTCGATTATCTCTTCCGTTCCGTTATTAGAGCTTTCCAGAAGTTTTTCCTCTAGTACATCCAGATCGAAGCTATCGAAGTTATCGTCTTCCTCCATTAACAATTTGCATTCATCTTCGTCAGATTTACTTTTATACGTTTCAATTCTTTTTACAACTGTGGCTGTTTCCACATTATCAGCTTCTTTGTTATTCGTCAGAACAGCAGGTTTTATCACCTATGGTTAAAGAAGGAAGTAATACATCGTTTAGTAATAAAGTTTAAGTTACGTACCTTCTTCGGGGTTTTCGAAGTCGGATTTTTTATGACTTGGTAATATTGATCGATGAACCTCTTCGCATTGCTGTTTCCTACCTTTTCTTTTAAAGCTTCCTTCACGCTTTGACTCTTTACGATTGACTGAAGATTATTAATGCATCGTTGTTAATACAATAAGATCTAATTAACTTACTGTAGCTTTAGATTTCTTATTGGTAACTTCGGGTGTCGGCGGGGAGCAGAATAGGTAAAGCTTTGCGTTTGAGTCAATTCCAACTGAAATTAATAATTAATTAATAGAAATGACAATGGATTGATTTACCCCAATTCTCGCTGAAGAAGTGCGCATTTAGCACAGTCTCCGATTCAAAATTTTCGAGCAATTCCTTCACAATCTCCGTATGTTGGATTAAGCAGCTATGACTAAAAATAGTTTCGTAGAATACAATTGAAATGTGAATAAAAAAATAACATACGTGTATTTCTCGTTAAGGAAAATATTGTTGTCCTCGTCGCCGATCAGCAAATTCATGACACTCTCGTGGTACATCGTCAACTTGTTCTTCACTTTACCGCTGTTTTTCAGGAAAATTCTGATCCTGACCCTGGACTTCCTCTCGGAAACTTTGATCTCCTCCAAACATAATTCGTACTGCGGCAAGTGTTCAACCTGGGAGTAAATGTTGTCGCCTTGCGGATATTTCCTATGCATAATCTACAATGTAATCTAATTACAGAAATCGTTGATGAAGCAATGTTATAACTTACAGTTTCTAAATGTCTAGGATTAGTGTCTAAGATGGCCTGGAAAGTGGTTTTTCCTGCTGCTACCAAATTAGTGGACATAACTGGACCGATCCCTGTTAGCTGTCGACTCACGTAGGGTGAATTTTCCCAGAGTTTCGCGCTGAAGCATTTCGCCAAGATTAGGGCACTGTGCAACGCCGAGAAGCATTTCTGATTGGATTCCAAAAATTCGGCCAAACCTGTCAAATAATTAAAACTAATTAATTAGGAATAATGAATGAATAATTTTGATTTCGCACAATTGGAAACTCGTTCTCCTATTTTCATGATCTTCTGCACTTCAGAAAGTAGGGAAGTCTCGACGATCTCCAAACAACCGAAGATCGCTTGAATCAAACTGATGAGATTAATTAGTGGTGAATCCTAAGATTTGATTCACACGCAATTGATTACCAATTGATTTTCATGTCTAAATTTTTAATCTTTCCGCTCAGCGGGAAACGGATCGTCTCTCGATTCTTGCATTTGTTCAATAAGTTCAGGGTTTTCTTGTCGTTACCTCTCAAACACATGTCCGAAAACTCGTGGCATCGCGAGATCAACGCCAGGATCTGCTGCAGCGTTTCGCTTCCGCTCACCTGAAACCGATGATTTGAGTACGTGCTTTTAAAAATTGATTGACTACCTCTTGGAATAGTTTCATGGTTTCGAAATGGAGGTAATACTTGGCCATCAAACATCCGTTCTTCGTGGGTGAGATGCTGACGTTGTAGAGCATCGAGATCATACCGTGCTTGGCCAGTTTGTTGATGGAGATCTGGCATACCTCTAGGAGTTTTGCATCGATCTGCGTGGGGCTCAAACCGAACGCGAATCCGTAATGCCTGGGGTTCTTCTTCGCCCGGATGTAGAGGAAGGTGGATGTAAGCCATTCCATGGCCACGCCGATATCGGTGATGGTACGAAGTACAATTTCCGCGTTCAGATGTTCCGTGAGGCTGTTGTGCAAACCGGACTCGACGGGTTGAGTCCCACCGATCATCCTCTCGAATTTCGCCTGCAACAAAACGAAACGATTGTTAATCGATTCAGCTGATTATGGGCAAATAGCGATATTTACAATTTAAATTTTAATTTGCAATGATTCATGAATGTACGAGTGAGCGTTTCCTATTAATTTCATCTTTAAACGTTTACGTATTATATTCAGAGATGCACAACTGTTAATGCATCCAGTTACAATTGCATCTCGAGATTTTGTACGATTGATGCAATTTATTAATATCCATTGTGGAAGAGAAATCTAGTCGATTTTGCTGATATTTAAATCACCCCGGCCCGAGGCGATCATGTACATTTTATATAATTAACTTGTCGACTACATGGGATTTATTAAATGAGCGAAATCATCCGTAGCACGAGAATACTTGTTATTTGTCAATATTGTCTGCGTTACTTAAGAACTGATACAATTATAATAACAAACATGCTGGAACGAGAAGATTAATTGCAAAGATGCTATTTAAATTAAATGGCATTTATGGAATGATTGGAAGAGTATTTTCACAGGTGCAACTACAAGATAAAAATGTCGAAGCAGAATGTGAATTGTTCATCTTCCTTCTGGCATTTAGAGAGTCCGGATGATTTGATCTTCATTCCAATTGCAATTCAAAACAAGTATACGAACTGGATGGTTTATACTGGTTATACTTCTTGCATGCGACTGCACCCGGTTTTCGGGATGAGGTGCGAAAAGTGTATTATTCGAAGACTCCATATTAAACTAACAAAAAAAAAAAAGTGTATGGCATTCTATTGATGTTGGTCGTGAAATGTCGATCGAAAAGAACAGAAGATTTTTGTTGTTGTTGTTGCTGTAGTTGTTATAAATCTTTAAATTTGGAATGGTAATGAGCGAAAGAGTTGCGCAAATGCGCATTCCTGCATGTAATCGAATTGTTAACGTTATTACGACAATTATGCGACTCCCACGCGGTCGCAATTAGCAAAAACGCGGCACTGGCCCTCCACGATAAATTCATTAACGGGTGGAGCAAATGGATATTGAAATGCGAATCGTCCAATTAGTGCGCGTCCCCAAGAGTCTCAAGGCTGCGATGTTTATTTCAAGATGGTCATAATTCTTATTTAATCTGATTCTTTATATAACGCTCAAGAGGTACACCTTGAAGACGGGTTTTTTTTTGAAGACGTGCACAAGAAAAAATGATTATGAAGATCTGCTATGGAAATGACTGGAACGAGTACATATTGTAATTAGATGTTTTTGCAGTAAACAAACAAATACCGATTGAAATCTAGATCTACGCTACAATTACTCTATTAGTAGTGCAGTCTTTGAAGATTTCAACTTTTAGTTTCAAAATTATACAATTCTATAAACAAATTTCTAGGAAATTATGTGGTATTGCAATTGAACATGAGAATACACTCAACTAATTATTCAGTAATCACAATAAGCAATAATATTGTTTTCGCGTTTTTTGTTGATGTTGTGTTGAAATTTTTACGGTTTAGGAATAGCGTAATGCTTGGATTGAGTGTGGTGGAGACCTTTTCCACAGTGTCACGCAATATGTTTGGGGGTGGCACATCCGAGCGACCTCGGGGATTTTTTCCGATTTGCAGATTTCGCGCGTCGGCGGTCGAGGAGGAAGAAGGCTGCTGGCTCCTCTCCTGTATATAATGAAACCTGGGCATCCGTTGGTATTCATTCGAGTGCTCACCTCCAAACATCAAAGTCGATAAGTGCGAATACAGTAAAAAAAACAATCATCAAGGTAAGTGTGTTTCAACGAACAAACATAAAAGGGTCCCGGTGATGTAAACTATAACATAACTAAGGTTTCACTTGAAATCGATAAAATGAGTCACGTGCATTTCGCAACAATGCAAGGAAACATATTGCATTCGTTTGCGAACAGTCGGCAATAAATAATTCCTAATTGGAAGATTATGCATTCAGATGAAACGGGATGCAAATCGCTAATCACCGCTCTTTGTGTTTGAAATTGCAGATGAAATTCGTATGCCTGTTGTTGTTCGTCGCTCTGGTACAGGCCAGGCCTCAGTTCCAGCAAAACAATGGCCCCGCAGAGCCGGTAACTACCCTTGTTTTTTTGTAATTGAAATTCGCATTTAGTAACTGTATCTTTTTAACTTTTCGCAGTACGATTTTCAATACAAAGTTGAAAATCCGCCGACGAACACGTTCTTCGGCCAGAACGAAAACGGCGATCAGGGCGGAAACAAACAAGGATCATATTACGTGCTGCTTCCTGATGGAAGGACGATGACGGTGAACTACGTGGCCAACGCAAACGGTTTCGTGCCGAAGATCACCTTCGGCGGCTCTCCCGGTTACCAGGGTTAGAATTTCGCGGAAAACACCTTTTCTTTGCTTTCTGTATAAACTAACTTATGTCCAGCCATTGAATAAAAAAAATAATAATATACCTTATCAACTGACGAAGTTAAGATTACTGCGGTGGCGGTGCTATCGTATTGCGGCCTCCCAGCCCTTCCCATCATCTGCAGCAGAGAACTCTCCGAATAATCCCTGTACTCTCCCTTGATGTACTGCTTTGTAGATTTGATTATAACCAGATGCGCCGGAAGGTTAACACCCATCGCCAGAGTGCTGGTGGTGACCAGCACAGGTAAGTCACCTAAAACTCAAACATTCAAAACAGAAATCTCGCGCAAATCTTCACGAAACGTACCGTTCCTAAACAATTCCTGAATCGAGTGGCGACTCTCCGGTAGCAATCCGGCATGGTGGACGGCGACGCCGTAGATCAAAGTCTCCTTCACCGTCTTCTCCACCAGTTTGTTCGCCGCCCGCTCCAGCACCTGCTTCTGCGCGTCGTTCAACCGGATCGAGAGGTTCTGCACCAAATGCTTGGACGTCATCTCGACGCTCTTCCTGGTGCTGCAGAAGATCAGCGTCGGCCTTCGGTTGGAGTACTGCATCAGAATGGATTGCAGCTTGTAGTTCAACATTATATCGAACTTGAAATACGTCGACGATGGATTGAAGTGATATCCCAAAACGATTTTCGTCAATTTCACCGGTCTCGTCTCATCACTAAAACTATATTTAGAAAAGAAGAAATTGAAGAATTTCCAAATCAACATGCAAATTACCTAAAACATTTGGCCGATTTGCTTTTCGTTTTAATCCATTCAGATACGTCTTCGACGTTCGGCACTGTAGCCGAGACTGCAACGAATCTAATCTGATTTTGAATTTCCACTTGTATGGTCTTCATCCGGCTAACCTAAATAAATAAAATTATTTACCTAAATCAAAGAATTATTACTAATTTACTATAGCTTCCAACGTTGGTCCCCTCGATTCATCATTGAGCAAGTGCACCTCATCTATCATAAACAGAACAACTTTACGCACGAAATTCATGTGCGTGCGCCAGTTCCTCGTCAGCGAATCCCACTTCTCCGGCGTCGTTATTATAAGATTGTGGTTCAGGAGGCTGCTGAAGGTTATGTTATCGCTGTCTCCGGTAGCGGTGATGCATTGCAGACCAAGCGGTGAGAACTTCTTGTGCCAATCCAACAATCTCTCCTCGCAGATCGCCTTCATCGGAGCGACTGAACGTTACGTGAATAGTTAAGTGCGAAAGTGTATTTAAGCCAGCGAAATCTTACCGTAAACTATTTTAAAATTCGAATGCGATGTATCGCCTTCCAAATCGTTCAGAAACTTGACGATTGCAAGCTCGAATATTACAGTCTTTCCGCATCCCGTTGGCGCCGACACGAGAATCGATTCATCTGAAAATATAATAATATCAATATTTCTGAAGTGGTCTTCACTCTTCATCTTACCAGTTTCGAAAACAGATTGAAACACTTCAGATTGGATTCTGTTGAAGTACATGTAATGCGAGAAGACTGACTGATATTGCCTTGGAACTCGTTCTATAGGCACCAAGGTGTTCGCTTCGAATGTTTTCTCGCTGCACAAATATTTGAAACAATTGTTAATAACAAACAAACAAACAAAAAAACTTTGTTGCAAGTTTCGAATATAGATATTCAAATGATACCTGCGCCATCTATCATCGGTATCGACAAACAGCATATTATAAAAATTACCAATAATAAATTAATGATTTAATGATTATATTAAATTTATAAGAGCAAATCCACGATCAAATACTAAATATGATCTAAATTGTGCTTGTCATAACCAAAAAAAACTCTAACTTATTGCATTCAATTACTAAATAGAAGTTGTTAACGTTGAAGCGATTGAAAACGCTCAAATTAAATGAATTGTGCATCTTACACCAGAGGAAATCCATCCGCGTTCTCCCGTTGTTCCATAATTCTACACTTTTCCTCAACAATTTACTTTTGCTGAACAATGTGACGCTTCCTGATGCCACCATTTGTATAAAAAGTTGAAAGCATTGTTGTCATTCAATGATTTCATAACCATCTAGGATTTCCATTTATTAGATTAACACCTGTACGTTTCACGAAGTTTACAATTCATTACAATTCAATTACAATTGGATTGACGCATTTTCAAAGTGAATTCATTTCAAATTTGAAATTAAATTATTAAAGAAAATTCTCACGAAAAAAAATGTTACAATTAAAAACAAATATTGAATGTGTGCGTATTTAATGCATGTTTATAATACATTTGGAATTAAGTAGTTGATTTAAATTGTTAATTTAACTAATTGCAAATTGTTGATTAATTTTACGTCGGTGGCGTAACCTGTCGGTGAGGTGCTGGACTAATTATGTTTGTAATTTAAAACATGATTCAGAAATTGCATATAAACAAGGCAAATTGCACATAAACGTTCGCAAAAGCAGTGTTTTTACATTTCATTGATTTACTCGAAAACTATA